TGTTTTACAACTTCCATGAGTATTTGACAAACGAATAAAGAAATGTTGTACCATTTGCGTGTGTGATTCTGCGATGCTGTTGATATCAGCAACTCTAGGTGTCATGGTAAAGATATTCCCTGCCGCGTCTTCATTTTCAGTTCTCTATTTAGAATGGAAGCGCCAACGTTCCCTATTTACAAATCCCTAAGGCTGAACTTCTGCACCTGACAATTAGAGATGAAGTGTAGCAGAGTGAAAGTCGTGTTGCCTGAGGTCTGAGGCCCCTGCTGTCCAAACTAGGTTCTCATACTGACAGTAAAGCAGACTTGTTGTTTGGGGAAGTCACATGACTATTTTAAGTTTCAGGGTTGGTTGGGTGGTTGGCTGGCTGGCTGATTTTCCATCTGAACTCTTGCAAGCTGAGACTTTCTGGCCTTTTTGATTTGGATTAGGGTTAGGATTCAGCCAAGAGCATGGCTTCACAATTCAGTATTTAAGTTCAGCACAAGACATGGATGAAGAGAGCCCATGGCATGTTTGTTAGTACTACACTGCCATTCTGAGGAGGGGGCTTATTATCCAGAGACTCCAAATTCCAGTTTGGGGAGTAGGAGACGCAAGTCTACCAAAGCATTAGCTTATATGGTCCAGTTAGACTTTGTCCATTCACAACAATGCTGATGTGTTATCAACTCAGTCCAAAGGCAAATCCTCAGGGCTGAGAGTGCAAGAACACTGGGGTGACAATCAAGGAGGGAAGAGGTCACTGACCCTCACAGGGCCTGGTAAAGCACTGGGTACCACTGCTCACACTTTCCAAGGAGCCAGGTTTGAACAACTTTGGCAGGCCCTTGTGCTGGGAGACAGAAAAAAAAAGCAAAAACACACATCTCTGTTCACCAGGAAGCCCCTTTGAAGTCTCTACACACCGGGTTTCTTAATTGAAGAAGATACTTTCTTTTCTCGAACTTTCCAGGAAAGGTGAACTTTTCCTTTCTCTCCTTTCACACCACTTTGTCTTCCTCTTTCAAATATGATTGCTCCCAGTACAGATTTCTTAGCCTGGATTTCCCCTCGACTTGCTCTCATTTAACACTTTATTGTAAAACTAAACTGTTTTGGCACTTAGTAAAATATGGGATTATTCTATATGTTGATAATTTCCAGCAACAGATACCTGTCTTCATCATAAAACTTCATCTACCTGATCTTTGAAAATGGCTTCAATGTATTTGTGTCACCATCTTACTGTTGACTTTTTAAACCCTATACTAGTCATTATTATACATCTCTGAGATAATCTTCTGATGCTTAATATACACTAGTGTGATTATGGCCCTGACTTTGATCTTAAACTTAACCTCTTGTCATATGTTGCTCAAATTTTGTGATCACAAGTTTTTACCACGACCCTCTGTTTTCTTTTGTAGTGTTGGGGGTGGAACCCTGACCTCATTTGTGCCAGGCAAACATTCTACTGCAGAGTGACACCCCAGGCTTTACCTACCTTCCTATTGAGTTGTTCTTTTCCTATTGATTCCAAGAACTCTGCACAGAGAGAGCACTAACCCTTAATCTGTCACATATGTTTCAACTGTTTCTCCCCACTTTACTTATGTTGGGAATTTTTGTAATATAACAATTTTGATATTTCCTTTTTATGTATCCATCAGTCTTTGATGACTTGTGAGTTTTGAATATAAAACAACTGGATTTTCTAGTTTCAGTCATTTGTTTCTTCACATATATATTCTAGTTGGAATCTGTTTCTGAATATATTGTAAGTAAAGTATCTAGTTTTTTTATTTTTCTAAAAGAAGACACTAAATCAAAACAAGCATTTAGAATATTAGTCCAACCTGTCCCATGGCCCTTCACTATTCCTGCTGCCAATGAGTAGTAGTAAAATTAGCAAACAGGAATGATTTATAAGTCTGTTTACACGCTAGCAATTGAGAGCCTTTCTATGAGCAGGTGGGAGAAACCCACCTCAAACTGACCTAAAGAAAAACAAAACAAAACAAAAAAAAACAAAACAAAAGTATTAATGGTGACTTATCACAAACTATGCATGAGTTTTGATTCAGAAGTTTGTAATCTGTTTCGATTCAGAAGTTCTGTTTCACCATTAAGATGATTCCAGCTGTTTCCAGGGGCCACATGTGCTCTTATCTGATTACTTAAGAGTTTGGATCTGGATCTCCTGACTGATTATTTCTCCTTGCTTTGCCTACTCACTGTGTCCAGGACAATGGTAAAAGGTGACAAATAGTCTGTTCAAGTAAGTCAGTCAGGGTCTACCCTGGAGCTGGGGCAGCTAGAATAAAAAGCATGGCACACATAAAAGAAAATAATTTTGATCAACTATATTACAGTCAAGATGGAATTCTAACCTGTTTTCTCTGAAGATTACAGATGTGTTACCTTATAAAGAGGCAATAATAACACCATGCCCCATGCCATCCAGAGACTGCATTTCAGACAGCCAGCTCACTGCTACTGTAACAACATGTCTGAGATGCTCAGCTTGTACAGGCAGAGATGTTACTTAGGCTTATACTTCTGAGAGTTCCACTTCCTGGCAATTTCAATTTGATCTCACTTCGGCACCACATAGCAGTGGAAGCTGGTGACCTCAGGATAACCAGAAAGTAGGGAGAAAGAGAAAGAAACCAGTCCCTCATAATCCCCAATAGGTTCCACTGCTTAAGCATTTCACAATTTAGTATCAGTCTGGGGCCAAGCTTTTAGCACATTCCACTCCAAACCCAAAGGACAGAACAGCTAGATCCCTTGGGGGTTTGGGGAAGCTCTCTGGAATAAATCTCAGCACCATGGTATGGAGAAAGTGTTTTTCTCTGGCCTCGTGTTTCAGTGGCTGATAGTTATTCTATGGATATTGACAGTCCTGTGTTTCAAGTTCATTGCCTCTGCAGTGGGGAAGTCAGAGAGTACAGAGTGACTCAGGTCCCTAGCATGAGGCTGCTTGGCTAGAACTGCCTATTGTTGCAGTGGCAGAAAAGAGGGGTTCAGAGCAATTTAACAGGGCACATGAGATATTCAGTATCTGATCTACTCTAACAGTATCAGACTTAAGTGAGCCTCTAACTTAATGGTTAATATTGTCAACCCACAGGATTTGGAATGATAGGAGGAGACACAGCTCTGAGCATGTCTATGCGGGTATTTTCAAAAAGGCTTAACTGAGGAAAAGCACACTATCCTTAATGTGGTATTACCATGTCAGATTGAGTAGAAGGGAGGAATACAGAAAGCCAGAACACAAGCACTTATCTCTCTCTGCTTTCTGAGTGTCTTGCCTGGTGTTCCCACTGCCACACCTCCCCACCATGATAAAATGGTAGTCAAAGGCCAGCCACAATGACCTCTTCCCTCCTTTCCTTAAGTTTCTTTTGCCGAGTATTTTGTCACAGCAGTGAAAAGTAACCAATACAATGCATGAGCCTGAGTTTCTGTTTTTCTAGTCCATAGGTGATAGCCCGTGCCTGGATTATTACAATAATGCCTTTAAAATATCTTCCTCGGTTCTGGGTCTTCCTCAAGAGCACCAAGTGCTCTTAACCACTCAGCCAGCTCTGCTGCCAGCATTCCTAAATTACAATAAAAATGCTGATATTATGTTACTGATAAGGTTCATTAGTCTCCTCTGCTTGCAAGACAATGGACTAATTCCTCTGCTTACATTCAACTTCCTTCACAGTTGGTTACTAACAGCTGTGCTTCCCACATCTGCCCCAGCTGGATTTAAGCCAATCCTCACCTTTTGATGTATAAGCCAAGATTATTTCTTCTGGTGCGTTTGCAAATATTGTTTGTTCTAACTGACAAGGAAAATATGCAAAACACTGACCAACTGCTGTGGCAGGCTTTAACCAATCAGGATGGAGCCTGGGCCACTCGGGGTGGTCATGTATAACTGCCAATTTGGATTGACAGGTTAGTTTAGTCCTACTGCCAGCCTCTGCTCTCCAGCCAACTGAAATCTAATTCTTCCACGAAGCCTTCCTGGATTGCTCTTGCTCACTTGGGCCTTTGATTGTTGTAGATTAATTACTCATTGTGTGTAGGTTGTTACTACAAAGCTCATGTGATATACAAGTCTAAAATACTGGCACTCTCTTGATGGAGTGATTTTGTTTTTTGTTTTTGTTTTTTCAAGACAGAGTTTCTCTGTATTGTTTTGGTGCCTATCCTGGAACTCGCTCTGTAGACCAGGCTGGCCTCGAACTCACAGATACCCGCCTGCCTCTGCCTCCCGAGTGCTGGGATTAAAGGCGTCTGCCACCAACGCCTGGCGATGGAGTGGTTTTATTGTCTTTTCATATGATAACATTTGTGATCTTATCTACAGAGAAAACAGCTATTACTCCATTTTGCCTGTAGTAAGACTGATCAGAATAACTTTGATATTTTGGAAAAGTTTTTTTAATTTCAAGATTTTATGACTGATAAGGATATAAATTTATAGAATTTCATTTATAAATAAATAAACAAGTAGAAAGCAAGAGAAAGTATTTAGTTCAGAGCTCACACTCATAGTGGGTGGTTCTTTGATGTCTTAGAACTGCCAATTATAGGGAAACCCTCATACACCGACCACTTGGGGAGGGAGCCTAGTAATTTCATGTATGGCCTATAAAAGTTCAAGCGATTTCAATTTTCTATGAAATGTTCTTTTTTGTTTTCTGATTTTTTTTTTGAGATACAGTCTTCCCTATGCAGCTCAGGCTAGGCTCTAACCTGCAATCCTCCTGCCTCAGCCTCCTGAGTATTGGGAATGGATTTGCCACACTGTGTCCCAATAGCTGTTGGGTGTATTCCTGGAAGCCATTCACCAGAATGGCTAACAACATCTTAGTCTGTGTGATGATTTAAAAACATGGCCCCTGGTTCTTTGACACTCCTGCTGAGGGGTCTACATCTCTGCCCCTTGAATCTTCATAGTCCAGTAAGCATCTGTATCCACAAAGAAGGCTTATTGCCTCTTTCTTTCCCAGGCTATTTCCCTTTGGAGTCTGAGGTTCCCTGTAAGAAGACCAGATCCAGCAGCTACGTCCTACACTGCAATCACAGCCTTGACAAACAGCCAAGTACCCCAGACATGAGCAAGCCTCTGATAGTTGTTAAGGCATTATTTTGGGAGGAGCAGTTGTATTTTTTGTTATGGGTGATGAGACATGTAATTGAAACTAAGCGCTCTAAGGGTGGGGCACCTGGGAGGGCAATCCTAGTGTGGTGGTTCTTCTCCATGTGGCATGGAGTGGTGTGCCTCTGCTGTAGCAGCATTTGCAGTGTCTCTTGCCACACCAAATCCGGTAGATTCTGTGTGACAAGTTCCACAGACTGAGGTGATAACTTCAAAAGAAGGAGGTCCTCTGGAAACGGTTGTGGAACTCTCGGCCGGAGAAAAGTATTGAGCTGTAGTTCTCATGGCAATCTCTGTTCTATTCTTTTCTGATATTAACGAAATGTTCCTGAAAGCTTATGCTGACATTTTAAACAAAAGAAATAAATGAGAAACCGTCCCCTGAGATATGGTCACTGACCATGACCTCGTCTCCAGGAAAACCAGTGCTTTTTAAATCATTCACGCCATTCATATAAGTAAATAGTAATAGTATTAATAAAAATTTCCCAACAATAAAATTTCATATAGCTGTGCATGTGTGATCAAGAATGGTTTTAATGTTTGGTAAAGAAACCTTTTTGATAAGAAAAAAAGTTAAAATTGCTCCATTTCAAAGACTCACAGGAACTAGGCAACAGAGTCAAACAATTGTGACTAGGTAACAGATGTCAAACAATAACTAACCACAAAAATGTATTAACCTGATCTTAGAAATAGGTGGTTAGCTACGGTTAGCCTTGAATGATTTTTTAATTTATCATTTTATTAGCCTTGGAAAAGTTGTGTGTTACAATGCCTAGTAACGATGATGTCATTTGTCTGCTTTACTGAACACAGACTCTGAGATGGTATGCTTTATTCTGGATAAAAAGCCTTGCTAAAAAGCTACAAAATACATTCAGATTCAAATTGCCTCTGTGTTTGTTTCTGTTTGTCACTGCCGAATCCTTACCCACCAAGTCTTCAAGAACCCTCATCCCAGGGACCTCCATACCCCGCTGGGGTGGTCCGTGGCAGTCTCTGCTATTGGTGATAAGACAGGCTTCTGAGATAGAGCTGTCTGCCCTGGGTGGGGGGGAGTCAGGGAAATCCATGGGAGAAATCCTGGTGGGGCTCTCCTCCTTTATGTCTTATAGGGTGGTATACCTCCTTGATGAATTTAGTCCATTAAGGGAGTATATATAGGGACTGCCCAGAATGGCTGATGGACCAAAGAATATACTGAAGTCCCTGAAAGCGCTGTGTATGGAACAAGATTGTAAGGAAGTTTGGCAGATTTCACTGCTGGGGGTGACAAGACATACAACTGAAGCTCAGCTGTCTGCTCAGAAAGAACTTGCCCACGTTGGAAAGAATTATAATTTGAAAATAAAATGTAGATTCCAACCTTCACCCTAGCCTCAAATTGGCAGGCAAAGTGGAGAAAGGGAGAGGGGAAATGCTAAACTGAATTAGTAAATAGAGAAAAGAAGATGAAACAGAAGTGTTGGCTTCCATTTCTTATTGTACAAAGAAAAGAGAACAAATTAGATGTGGACTAAAACTTGGACCACACGGGAAGGATCAGGCAGGGAGAGGAGAAAATGAGGTGGGAATGACGGTGAGGAAGCTGAGCGCGGATGGGGCAGTGTGTGATGAGTCAGTCCACTGAGCAGGAGAAGACTGCTTTCTCCAGAGACTTGAGATGGAAGTTAATCTAGCAGGGACCCTGGGGAGGGGCTTTTATGGAACTGTGACCCACTCTCTGTTAAAAGGTTTCATTTATTTCATTTCATTTTTTTTATTTATTTAAGTTAGAAACAAACTTGCTTCACATGTCAATCCTAGCTCCCTCTCCCTCTCCACCAGGTCCCCCAGTCTCCCACCCAATCTCCACTCCGCGGTCCCCAGGGAGGGTAAGGTCCTCATGGTAGATCTCCAGAGCCTGTTATTTCATACAGGGCAAGGCCTAGGCCCTACCCCACGAGTCCAGGCTGAGAGAGCGTCTCTCATTGTGGGATGGACACTCAAAGTCTATTTGTACGCCAGGGATAAAAACTTCCCAAGGCCCCATAGATTACCTAAGCTTCCTCACTGACACCCACATTCAGGGAGTCTGGGTCAGTCCCATGCTTTCTACACAGCTATTAATCTGGGGTCCAAGAGCTCCCCCTTGTTCAGATCAAGGTTTTGTTTATATCGTGCTAACCTATGTTCCTTACAGTTAGAAAAACATCTGAAATATATTTAAGCTCCCTAAAGGACAAGGTTGGGTTATCAGTTTACCCGGGGTGCAGTTGTTGGGGACAGCAATGAAATTCTTAGGAGTGTTAACGTCTGTTCAAGTAGAGTTATGGGGAAAATCCTATGATATCCCATGCCTGTGAAAATGGCTGCTGGTGTTTGGGGTGCCCAGAAGGGATCTGTGTACTTTCAGACCCCTCACTACTCATGTTGCTTCTTTGTACCGTTTGATTAAAAAAAAAAAGATTCCCTGTAAGATTGGGACAGAAAGGCTCAAGAGACTTTGAGCTACAACAAGTACATGACAGGCTGAGCAGCTCTGTGCCCAGATACCCCTGTGCTCTCTTGTGTTGGAAGCTGGTAGAAACTCAGGGGGCTATAGCTGAGGGCTATGATGGAAAGAACCCAAAGACACGGTGCTGGAAACGGTATTAGAACAGCATCCAGTGATGGAAGGGGTATCAGAACAGCAATGCTATGTACACACATAGATGCAATAGGCAGACTCTACTACTGGTTCCACTCAGCAACAGCAAAGCCAGTTTACCAATTAAATGTTGGATTGAAGGTATTCCAGCCAAGCCTCCTTTGGAAGGTGGTGTAGAACTGAATTCTATACAAGTGTGATGTTATTATGCATATTTACGATATGACATGGTATCTGCAGTCTTATCCCTAGTGCCACATGCTTTCAAGTCACCAAACCTCCCTTAATTGAACCAACAGCCAAATAAGACAAGGTCCTGGGAGGGACACCATCCCCATCCCTTTAAATGCCTACTGGTACCACAAGTAAGAACACCAGACAGGGACATATAGCTGTCATAATGCAAATGAGCAAGACACAGGAGAAAGAAAGAGTCGCTAGAGGGCTGGGTTAAGGGCAGTAAATCATGAGTCTTAGCCTGTGATAATCTGTGCCAAAAAATAGGCTGTGCTTAGGGGTCTGACTTTATGGGTGGCCTCCTAAATGGAAAGAGAAAACTGGCAGGCAATGGACTGGCCACAGTAGGGATAACAGATAGGAAGGAAAATGACAGTCAGGCTAAGGACAAGCAGCTGCAGTGTACTTCCACCTACCTGCAGGGACTGCAAAGAATTTGAACAAAAGATACCCTGCAAGAGAGGAAAAAGATACTCCCAGAAGAAGAAAGTTGTTTGAATAAAAATTCCACCATTAGGGGTAGATGACCTCCCTACAAGTTCTTTTTGTTTGTTTGTTTCTTTTGTTTTGTTATTCAAGACAGGGTTTCTCTGTGTAACAGCCCTGGCTGTCCTGGAACTAGCTCTGTAGACCAGGCTGGCCTCCAACTCACAGAGATCTGCCTGCTTCTGCCTCTCCTAGTACCAAGATTATAAAGTGTGTGACACCACGCCTAGCATCCCTACAAGTTTGTAGTCAGAGGTCTCCCAAAGGCTCCTCCTAAATGATACAGGCTATTGCTGCTGCTTTTTAGCTACTTATTATAGCTACATGAGAAGACCCTCATTTAGTGATGAGGATGCCTTGGGTTTTGTTTGTAGGACACAGAGAAATAAAGGCTGAGCAAATCTGAAAGCTCCTTTCAAGAATTTCTGACTGAATTTTGTAGTGACAGAAGGAACTCTGCAGGCTGCTGGGGGGAAATTGTCACCAGCAGTCCTACTGAGCTGCAAACCAGCTTGTTATACTATCGATTTGCCAGACAATGAGTGTCCACCAGTTTAATCGTGGCACGACTGTTTTGGGAGCAATGGACTAGTTTCTCATTCGGTTTAAGGCTTATATCTCATCAGGGAATTCACATCTGGTATTGTTAGCCTGGTGAAAGACTTTGACTGGGAAGGTCACAGGTTGTAGCAGGGTAGCTACTGCTGTCGTTAAACAGGAGCAATGTGTTTGTCAAATTTCCTTCTAAACATTTGTGCTTCTGTTAAGCCAGATGTGGAGGGGAGTTTTTGTTTGCTTTGTAGCAGGGAAAAGTTACTACAGAGATTTATTTTCAGTCAAACTGCTCAGGGAATAGTACAAAAGAAGAGGAGGAAAGAATATAAGAGCCAGATGGAGGGATGAAGCTTTGTGGCATACTGTCCTCTGAGGTAACCATCCCCACCTTAGTCAGAAAAGGTGTGATTAGCTGCAGGTGACCCTCAAGACTGGGTCTGTTGATGCTGCTGATAGAAGGAGAGGGTAGAAGGGTCGCTAGACCCTTACCTCAGATTTCAGCCATGCCTCCCTCTTACAATCCCTTCTGAGCTGCTTGTAATTCTGTCAACAGCTGCATGAGGCTCTGGAGAATATAGAGGTCACAGTTTCCTGAAAGGGGGGGGGACTCCTGTAGTGAGATGCTTTACTCTTTTAGCTTTTTGAGAGGCCCACCACCAGCTCCCAAATAATCACACATGGAGGCTTATTCTTAGTTATGAATGCCCAGCCTTATCTTGGCTTGTTTCTTGCCAGTTGCTCTTAAATTACCCCGTCTATCTTTGGCCTCAGGGATTTTTATCTTTCTCTACCCCTGTATACCTTTTCTTTACTTTTTACTCTGTCGCTGGCTGTGTAGCTGGGTGGCTGGATGGTTGGGTGGCTTCGTGGCTGGTCCCTGAAGTCTTCCTCTTTCCTCTCTCATTCCCAGATCCTTTTTTTCTCTGAGATTCCTTCTCATATTTCTCCTCTTTGCCTGCTATCCCCACCGATTCCTCTCTCCTGACCTGCTACTGGCTGTTCAGCCCTTTATTAAACCATGAGGTGTTTTAGACAGGCACAGTAACACAACTTCACAGAGTTAAACAAATGCAACATAAACAAAAGTAATACACCTTAAAATAATATTTCCCAACAGACTTCCATCTATACAGCAGTGGAGAAGGCATCGTCTACATTTGACTCTTGTAGAATAATGTTTTTGTATACTGTGAAGATGTGTCACTCTAATGGGTTTAATAAAAACCTGAATGGCCAATGGCTAGGCAGGATTTCTGGGCAGAGATCATGCTAGGAAAAGGAGGCAGAGACGCCAGGAGACTCAGAGCAAACAGTATGGGCACTACAGAGATAAGGTGATAAAACCACAAGGCAGAAGGTAAATTAATAGAAATGGATTAATTTAAGTCATAAGAACTAGTTAGAAAGAAGCCTAAGCTATCCACCAAGCTTTCATAATTAATATTAGTCTCCATGTTGTTTTTTGAGAGCTGGTGGCCCAACTACTGGATTCTTTTGGTGATGTAGTTGTTTTGGGGAAATCTCATGCTCCATAATATAATTCTTCACCTATGCTCCTGATAAATTTGTTTTATTCTCTCACTAATCTACACTCCAGTGCATTGCTGGCACCTTATCTGACAAGAGTAGACACTTGTTCACATCTTCCTGGGAAAAGTTAACACATCCTAAATGATCTCAGTAAATTTATTTTTTAAGCATATAACATATATTTAGTAAGTATGTGTTACTATGCTTTCACTTCTTTTCTTAAACACTATGCCTTCAAAATATCCTGGCAGGCAGATTTTGGATATGGCATTCCCACTGAAGACTAGCCCTTGACTTCTTTACATACTCCAAGCTCCTGTGTCTTACCGTAAACATGTCTACATTACATGTACACTTGTCATGAATGCTCACTTCCTGGAGACTGAAGTGGAGGAACAAAACTAGCAATGGAGTTTGTCATCCTAAGGAAGGTGGGTGAGAAATCCAAGCAAGG